TTCGTGCGCTAATCCCTGAAAAAAGAGCTTCAAAACCCCACCAGCCCCGTCTACCTCCGTTGAGCGGGCGTCATTGGTGGAGTTTTAAAGCGCCTTTACAAAACTTAGCGCATAAATTGTTGTAAAGTTGAAATCAAAATACTTGAAGGTCAAAAAACACCAAACCCTGCTATCGGGTCATTTAGTTATAAGTAGCACTATTCTATATTATAAGAATAACTTCCTAAAGGGGAAAAGTGCAGGGTCTAACAATGAGATCGAATGCATTTTCTATTTAACTTTCAAAAGTTTAGTTCGTACCGTTGAGACTTTAGTCCGAATTCAATGTGATTATCAAACCATTTGGATCCCCTTCTCCGAACAAGGTTATGCGTGAACAGAACATTTTTTGTGCCTAGTCGAATTTGATGCGGTTTTCCAGACTGTATTACTTTGAATGGACCAGGATGTACTGGCTCGAATTTCTACCAAAATTAATCGCTTAGGAGAAGATATTGAACTGAAGTCTAAACATGCAAAGTTCGGAACTCCGCGAAGGATTGGCGAGTACAGTGTACAAAATTTCAAAGTTTTAAATACGTAGATATGCTTCCATTACCAACAAGTTTTACCAGGTGACTTGCGATCGAGATTTAATGCCAGCCAGAGCAAAACACATGTATGATCAAGAGACCGTGATTAATGGAAAGAAAGTGATAATTGATCTGAATCAAGGGTTCGACACATTCATGAAGAAGGAGGAAGATAGAGAGAAGACAGCAAAATATTTGGAACTCAAAGTAGTTTTTTATTGACCAGCGCGTTGACGTTATTTGATCTCGTCCCATTGTAGACTGGCGAAAGACTTGATAATTTTTGGAAGTGGATTATCATGCAAGCACCGAAGGGGAGCTCTCTCAAAAAGGTAGTGTGATATCTGAATCAAACCGCAAAAAATTAAACACCTACCTAGGTGCTCTATGAGGCTGACTTTGTATGTTGTTATGGGTTGATGAAACGGATAGGATCCACCCCATTCAGCAGTAAAAATGGTTGGGAATTTTCTGCTGTCTATTTCGATGATGTAATCTTCCTCTGCGAAGAGGAACGGTATGAAACCTGGCACACCATGTCAGAAGAAAAAGCGCGTTCGTCGTATTATGAGCTCAAGTTCAAGCAGTACATGACTGTAGAAGAAAATAGTGTAAGTTTTCTTTCGTTGCTATAGATTTTCAGCTCTCCTATTATTGTTGATATCTCTTATTTGATATAGTTTGAGGTGTTAACTCGATCGAAAGTTGATATCAGTCACTTAAAGATGACCCTTAAAGTAGTATTACGCATTTCTTCAGTCTTCATGCAAAAAAGCTCGGTACTTTTCCGTTATCCGGACGCAATTTTCCAAAATGCTATCAAAAAATATGCTATTCAATTTAGAAA